GGATGTGGTTCTGGGCCGGTTGGCGCAGGTGCCGAAGGCTAAGGCTAAGGGCGAGTCTTCGAGGCTGGGGTTTGCCGAGTTCTGGACCGAGGTTGTGGATAGTATGTTCCCTTTCCTTTTCCCCTTGTTTCTTGGAACTTGAGGTTGTTGGGCAGAGGGCGAGGGCGAGGGCAGGCTAACGCTGCGTCTAGATGGTTTGTTTGCCGCGGCTTCCTCCGAAGAACGCAAGTACTGGGGGTTCTCGCTGTTCATCAAGGTCGTCACCGAGAGTCCGCAAGCCGTGGCGGCCCAGACCTTCACCAAGAACCTGGTGCGCTGCCTCATGAACCAGCTGGCCGTCGAGGACCGCTACCTGCACCGCATGGCCGTCAAGGCCGCCAAGTCCCTGCAGACGCGCGTGGCCAAGGAGCCCGCCTTCGCCGCCGCCGCCGTCCGCGGCCTGATGGGGCCCGCCACCGGCGGCTCGGTCACCTTCGACCAGGCCACCAAGACCAAGACCGTGGAGAAGATCGTCGTCGAGGCCAACGTCGACGCCCTCAAGGAGATCGTCCCCCTGTTCGAGTCGCTGATCGCCGCCCCCTGCGGCCCCAACGATGGCAAGACCGCGGCCGCCAGCCGCCAGTTCCTGGCCGGCTTGCTCCTGGCCATCGTGCGTGCGCGCGCGTCCGCGGACAGCAAGGACGACGACACGTACAGTGTGCTCGAGCAGATCCTCTCCATCTTCGTCCGCTTCGCTTACTTCAAGGACCCGGCCGTCAGCCCCGCGCTCACCGAGCAGACCCAGGAGCTCTTCCGCAGTCGCATCAACTCCTGCATCAACAGTCTGATCGCCACCGCCCGGTACGCCTCCATCCCCTACGTCGTGGTGCGCCAGATCCGGGACCTGGCCAAGTCCGAGGAGCGCGGCAAGTTCATTGTCAGTATGGATGAGACGATCAGTGGCGCGGTCAAGAATGCGTTCAAATCGTTGAAGAAGCTAGCGAGTATGGTATGTTCCTCCTCTTTACCCGGTTTCCTCCTCCAATTCCGTGTAAAGGAAGATTGCGCGAGCCTGGCTAATCGTTTGTGGTTGGTGCAGGAGAAGAAGGATAACGCGGCGAGCGTCGACGCGTTCCAGCTGCTGTACTCGTTGACGATTCTGCAGGTGTACAACGGCGACGCGGACGCGGCGTCGATGCTGGAGGAGTTGGATTTCTGCTACACGCAGATCTTCGGCGAGGAGAAGAAGGAGAAGAAGAAGAAGTCCAAGGGCAAGAAGGCGGAGGACGAGGACGAGGAGGAGGACGACGAAAAGACCTCCGATGCCTCGGATGCCCTGGTGGAGATCCTGCTCAGCTTCGCGTCCAAGCAGTCGCAGCTCTTCCGGCGCATGAGCGAGCAGGTCTTCGGGGCCTTTGCGGAGAGCATCACCGAGAATGGCCTGGAGTCGCTGACCTCCATCCTGGAGGCCAAGGAGAGTCTGGCGGGCCAGCAGGAGATGTTCGACCAGCAGGACGAGGACGGGGACGACGCGGACATGATGGATGTTGATGGTGACGGTGACGGTGACGAGCTCGACAGCGACGTCGAGGTCGTTGAAGCCGGTGACTCCGCGGCATCCTCTTCCGACTCGGAGCTCTCGGAGGACGAAGGCAACGACGACGAGGAGGCGATCTTCGAAGCCAAACTGGCCGCGGCGCTGGGCACGCACCGGCTGGACGCGGACATGCCGGAGGCCGAGGAAGACTCGGACGCGGACATGAACGACGACGAGATGGAGGAACTCGACGAGCAGCTCGTCAAGGTCTTCCGGGCGCGCCGCGACGCCCTCGGCCAGAAGAAGGACAAGAAGGACGCCCGCGCCAACATGGTGCACTTCAAGAACCGCGTGCTGGACCTGCTGGAGATCTACGTGAAGAAGTGCCACGCCAAGCTGCTGGCCCTCGATCTGCTGCTGCCCCTGCTGCGGCTGACCCGCAAGTCGGCCAACAAGCAGATCTCGACGCGCGCCGCCAACGTCCTCCGCGAGTACACCAAGCAGTGCAAGGGCGCGACGGCGCTGCCTGCTATCCAGGAAGAGGACGTGGACAATGTGTGGGAGCTGCTGAAGTCCATCCACGCCGAGGCGACGCACAGTGGGCCCCCCGCGCACGCGACGGCGTGCAGCCAGGCGAGCTTGCTGGTGGTCAAGGTGCTGGTGGCGCAGGAGCGGGGCAACGTGGCCCGCGTCGTGGAGGTGTATGGCGAGACGAGGACGAAGCAGCTGCTCAGTCGCAAGTGTCATGTGCAGCCGTCGTTCTTTACGGATTGGAATAACTGGTGTGTTTCGTTCGGGAAGATGAAGAATTAGAGGGTCAAAAGTTACATAGACGGTGGTTTTCGTTGGCTTCGATTCAGATATCCAGTGTTGTTGTTATGTGCTTTGTGCTTGTTTCTTGAGTAGGGTTGTAGCGCTGTGGTTGTGTGTCTGGATGCTCGGATGATGACAAGGGCGCAGGCAGGCAGGTTTAGGGTAAGCGTGCGGCAGAGTATGACTCTATCCAGGCGGTTACCTACTGCTGTGTTCTAGGTACATGTTTGGAACTATGAACATGCTGCCTCCCCGCCCTAGCACACAGAGAGAGACAGAGAGAGGGAGGCTATGCCACAACGGCCCCGGAGAAAACACAGGACACAAGGGAAGCGTTCGGAGGACTTGACCCTACAGTAGTCGTCGTCTCCTACCTAGTAAGATACCTTGACCGAAAATGTATGTCTCCACACAGGGATGACACTGCGCTGGATATGCAGACGTCACGGTGAGTGTGGCTGGAGCGCTGGTTCGGGCTGTTGTCGGTTGTCGATCGTCGAAGTTTGAGACGTTGTCGCGTGGTAGTTATGACCGTTGTGAGATAGAAACCGGCATTCTGGGAACTGGTCAGGGTCTGGCTTTGACGATAGCGGTTGTGAATGAAGGTGTGCTCATGTTTACTTTGATCCACATCAAAGCAGAAGCTCCACAGAGGATAATAGCGTGTGAATGGGGAAGCTGTTCAGTGAGGTGGTAGTTGGTGGTTAGGGTTGCTAGAATGCTTCTTACCTCTATCCATGATGGACAACTCTGATAGCGACAAATAATCCCCTTTGAGTAACGGCAGAGCTTTGAGCCGAGCACAAAGCCTTTGATGGACAAGCGAGAGATGCTTTGAAAATACAAATGAAAAACGAAGTGCAAAGAAAGAAATTGGGGGAAATGTATCGATGTGAATGTGCAGTCTAAGACATACGATGGTGAAAGCCCTGGGAGTGGAAATCTCCGCTCTTCCCTTTAAGAACGTACAAACAAGGCAGGGCTCGATGACTTGTTATGAGTTGATGGCCCTGGGGTTTCTGCACTATATAAGCTTGGGAATCCTCACTGTGGAGGAACTTGTATCCCACACAACAGGTCACTGCATCCTTGCTGGTTGTTCATCTTGGTCTAACCTTCTGAAAGTAACTTGTTGTTCGTTCCACATCTCAAGACTAGCTCTCAACATGTCTTCTCTCAGTTCCGAGCAGATGGCCGGTGACGCCGTGTCTATCCTTGATGAAGCTGCGCCGGATCTTGTCTGTGGTGCTGCGTCTATTCCTGATGCTGATTGCGGTGTTGATCGCAAGGCTAAGGTTGAAGATGACTACGAGGATGATCACGAAGAGAATCAGGATGATGATCTGAACGATGAGCCAAGCAATGGCCCCGATGACCAGGACCACTGTGACGAGCAGATCGATGAGCCAACCGATGCGCCTGATGCTCAGACCGATGCTCAGCCCGACGACAAGCAACCCGATGAGTCCACCGATCAGACCGAAACCACCGATACTCAGCCCGACGCTCAGGACAGCGAGGAGAACGACGACCCGCCCAACGAACCCGCAGCCGCCCCCCACAACGAGTACAACTTCCTCCATGAAGCCGAAGCCTGGCGCATTCACATCCAGCAAGAATGGCTCGCCCACGGCGGGATCCTGCGCTGGACCACCCACCGCGTGCTACCAGCGGCCGGCGCTCTCGCGCAGTCCGCCCTGCTCTCGAGGCCCGCCATGTACATCCTGCACTTGGTGCACCTCACCTCGTACCTGACGGGCAGCAGCCCAGCCGGCTCGGCGGCTTGGCCGCTGCGCTTCCGGTTCACCGACCAACTGACCGAGCTGGAGTGGATGGGCGCCCTCCTCTGCGTGCTGGGCGTCTGGCACCAGTACCTCTTCACGGCCATCTTCCAGGGCCACCGGACGACGCGGGCGCGCGCCGCCCGGTACCTGGACGTGCTCGGCCTGGTCTCGTGTCTGTTCTGCCTGCCCGGGCTGAACGGCTGGGCCGTCGGCCAGATGTACGGGCTGACGTTCGCGGTGCTGCACCTCCTTCTGCTGGGCCTGTTGGGGCTGTATGATTCCGCGGTCGGGGCGAGAGACTGGGCCCGTCGGGGGTTGGGGCTGCGCGAGGAGGTCGCGGTTGATTTTGTTTATGGTGGTGACGACGATGGTCGGGATGCGGATGTTGTTGTTCTTGCTTTGGATGGAGATGATGATGATGATGATGATGATGACGCTGCGCTTGAAATGGCGGCGCTGCTTGGTCTCTATTACTTGCCCTAGACAGGCTTTCTGTTAGTGAGAGAGGGGTCCTGTGAGGTCTGCTCGTCGGTGCGGCTCTGGTGTGATGCGAAAAGAATAATGTCTTTTAGTGATCTTAGTACAACAAATTGATATGCGTTGGTTATTAGAATAAGTAACAGAGATTATGTGTAATTTCTCCAATTTTTATCCATTAAGTAGGTTTCTCTCGGTGAGACGTAGATTAGTCTCCCTCTTACACCAGCCCCTTCAGAAAAGTAAATCCCTCGAACTCGATCATGTTGACTTCCGCCAGTACTTCCAAGCATCAAGAGTGGCTCTTGACACCTCGACTGGCTGCCTCTTGGTATAGGCGTGAACAGAGCGCTCCAAGAAATGTCTGGTGTTAGAGTGGTAAAGTATGTGTGCTCCAGTTGTGATAGATTCTCTCATTTACATGTCTGCCTCAGATAAATACAATATACTTGTTAGTCTGGTCCGATGAAGATTATTAGGTACCGTAGCTGCAAGGCCTTTCCCTCCATGTTATGATCCTCGAAAGAGACAGTGCTAGTGTGTCACAACCTGTTCACTTTCAACCAAGACAAAAGAAAATGAAAAGAAAAAAGTAAATTAAGAAGGAAGGAAAGACAAGCAAAGAATCGAGACCCCATCTGCCTAAGCTATAAACGACAGATGCTCTGCCCTCCCCATATCATGTCATGTAGAACCCCCAAGGTGTAAGCGATTGCACAAACCCACCCTAAGCAGCAGTGCAAGCCCCGTTCACCTGAGTCTGGGGCGGTCCAACATCAACCGTCTGCACGCCACTGACGGTGGTGACGCTGTGGTCGATGCCGTTGAAGGTGCAGCGCACATTCCCCGTGCTGGAGACGATGTGCGAGATGCTAAGCGGGTTGGCTGGTTTCCCCTTGGTGTTAGCATGGAAGGCACTACTTTGGAAGCAAGATTCACATACTGATGGCCGTCGAGGCGCCGTCGAGCGGGAACGACTGAGAGAATTGCGCGTCCGCGGCGCCTTGGAAAGTGATGGTGACAGATGAGCCCTGGCCTCCGGAGGGGGTGCTGGGGGTGGAGGGCTCAACGGGGGCCGGGGCCGGGGTGGATGGGTCCGGGGTAGGAGTGGTGGGATCCCCCGCGGCGCTGCACGAGCCCTGGGTCTGGGTCTGAGGGGGCCCCACGTCCACGGTTGCTACGCCGCTGACGGTCGTGCTGGAGTGGTCGATGCCGATGAAGGTGCAGGTGACGCCTGCGGTGCTGGAGGCGATGTGTGAGATGCTTAGGGGGTTGGCTGGGGTTTGGGTTAGTGATCGTTGGGGTGGGATTATGTTTGCTGGGCTCTAGGCTAGGCTCGGCTTACAGATAGCGACGGTGGAGCCATCGGTGGGGAAGCTCTGGGTGAACTGCGCGTTTGCGGCGCCCAGGAAGGTGATTTGGACCTCGTTCTGCGTGCGGACAGCAAGCGGCGCGGCGAAGACGGAGGAAGCGAGGGCGAACAGAACGGTGGACTCGGAGAGGAGTTGCATGGTGATGGTGGTCTATCTTTTGCAATCGAGAATGACTTGGAAGGTAAAGTTAGCGAGAGTATGAAATGCTGCTGCTTTGTTTGGAACTCTGTGACTCTGTCTGATGCTGATGAGAAACAGTTGCCAGGTTGAGCGAACGTCTGAGAGGTTTATATAGACATGATATGGACTGCAAAAGCCCTGCTCAGCGAGCAGTTCAAGTCAGGTATACAGCTCATGTCCCTAAAATAGAACTATACAACACGACCCGTGGGAGAGGAGTCACTCCGCCGGCCTTACATCAACAAAACCCTCATAGTTATCGCTCGGCTGCGCTCGGGAGAGCGAGAAATCCCACGGCGCGTTGGAAGAAAGCTCAGGGCAGAGCCCCGGATTTGGCATAAATGCGTAGAGAGTACCATGTACAGTACTAAAATTATCTATCACACGACACACTGCCCCCCGGTGGCCGTTCCATGTATTCACCGGCAACGGCAGTGTAGTCTCGTGCCAGGGCTTGAGCTTTTTTTCCCTGGACACAACTGAGTCAATTACGAGCAGAGCCTCGTGTTGAGTGCATGCACAGCTTATTAAGGCAAACTCTATCTCGACGATCGCCGTCTTTGTCCGGGGAATTGACAGCATCCGCCGCCGTATATGCACCGCCCGAAACCTAAACCCGGACACTCAAAGCGGAACACGTCTACCGCGCTGATGGGCATCATCCAGCGATGCTGTATGTTTTACATAATAGTGACAATTTTCGAGTCTGTGGCAGGTCAGCAGAAAAACGCGCATCTGATTTTAGAACAGACCGTGCTGGCCGAGGGGCAGTTGCTTGTCGCGGGCGTTGAGGGTAGGGCAAAAGTCATGACATCATACATACAGAACATGGAGATATAGGGTTGTTTGTATACACACTGCCACCTACCACATCTGGTGGGCGGATGCTGCCGCTGCGAAGGGGGCTTCTCATTCGATGTCTAATTTAAGATCGAAGATGTGATTGTCTTAGACATCGGGTAAGGCCTCCTTCGCGAGGTACAGCACTGTGTTTGGCTCCATCCTCCGTCGCACTACCACCATCTGCCCCCAAGCCCTAATCACTTCCTGTGCGTGGCTCATCCCAAACACTCACTACCGCTGAAGCTGGCTCGAGCTATTCTACTACTTGTCACAGTGTGCTTTCTTCTTTTCTACCCTCACCGCCTCTTCTATGTCTCTGATTCCCACTTGTCAGGCGCCTCTTCGTGGTCCTGCAAAGGCCGCCCACGGCGCCACATCGTAAGCAGGTGAATTCCCCCTTCGCCGCACCACACTACAGAGTGAGATGCCGGGTCAGACGATGATGACATCCGCGACTAGGTCACCGGCTGCGCGTTTGAACTGTGCAGCTCAGATCGCTTCGGCTCGGGTTGTCTCACTAGCGTGCCAGCCCTTTGCTGGAGTGGAGTAACAGTACCATTGCACTGAAACTTCCGCCGCCGGGCTACACCTCGGCGGAGCTCGGTAAGAGAGAGAGGGTCTTCTTGAGCCGTGCAATTTGTTACTTTATGGAGAGGGCGAGGGCGAAGGGAGAGGAAATCCCGGTTGTGACTGGCTGGAATTAGTTAAAGAAAACCTGATACAGCAACTGGAGGACGCAGAAAGCGACTGTACATCGTGATTCCCTTCAATTGGGCATTGCACAAAGGCAAAAGGACCTAGCAAGGCTAGGACTTTTTGATTCACCGAGTTCACTACCACTCGATTATCCTTGAACCTATTCCAGCCCACTCACCGGCCGATCCATTTCCAGATCCCACGTCATCCGTGTAAACCCTCCTGTCCGAGGCAGTGGGCGGGGGAACGTCAAGCCTATGACAGTCTTCCAAACATCTTGGCCGTCTCCGGACCTGCGAGCTCTGCGAACCGAACTGACATGCCAAAAAGCAATGTTTAACACATATCCTCCCCGCGACTTGATGATGCTGCACCCGAAGAATCGACCAGCGTAGCAACGCACATGTTTCATCAGATGCGCTACTCAGCGAGAAGATCGACGACGCCGAACCACAACGGTCGCAGACTGGGCACGAGCTTGACTGTGGGCAAAGTACTTTGAGATCATTGCTCTCGCACCCGACCTAGTTGGACTGCCTCCAGCGGAATCTCATCGTCCCGAGCAGATGCAAGGACCTGCCTGACCAGACTGTCCATGATGCTGGCTACACTGGTTTGTGGAGCCACGCAGTAGGAATGCTACCCACGGCTTCTCCCCCCTGAGCCTACGAAGTTATCGCAACTCCTGCAGTGTAATGTGTGAGTCGCGAAGCCATGGAGCCGGGCGCTGGCCGGCGTTGTCTCAGGGCCTGATTTCCTTAACGAAAAGCCTTTGAGCCGGTGGCCACGTTCAGCGAGGTTCGCTTGGTCAACCACACGCAGCGGTCTTGATCAATGCAGATAGCTTGACTGCCAGTCGCATGATTCCGCATTCGATCTGCTGGGACCGGGCCTGGGCGGTAATGAGGCTTCGCGAGCATCGCTGTAGTAGATCGTCTTGCGAACATATCTTCCTCTGCCTCATTGTTTGGCATCGACCTGACGAAAAGTAATGAGAGGGATTGAATGGATATGGACATGGTTAGTGGAAGAGAAACCACTCGAGAGGTCCAGGTACTTGCTGCTGGCCACCTGTTTGGAAAAACGATCCGGGGAGTAATGCTATCTCTGCAAATCAGTGTGAGATTGACTGTGTATCACCCACCCCGGCGGCATCCCCACTATTATCAAGGATCTCGACGCCAAGTGAGGGGAGCCAAGCCCCAGCACAACCCAGCACATGACCTCACAAAGGAGGGAAAATCAGCAATCAGCAATCAGCAATCAGCAATCAGAGAATCGGCCAACATTACTCCGACAGGATAAGCTCCTTCAATAATATAAAGCCCATACTTTCCCAAATTGATCTCTGCAAAGAAGCCGACTGACAGGCCGAACAACAAAATGACAGAAACTGTAAGCTTCCACACGCAGCCTCCTCCCCCGGCACCATCAACCCTAACCGCGATCTCTCCATTTGGCATTGGCTCAACCATAGTAACCAACCCACCAGAACCTATCATGCGTCCTCTACGGCGCCGGAAAAGTCCGGTTCGAAGACCGACCCATCCCCCAAATCGAAGACCCCCACGATGTATTGATCCGAATCGCGTACGTGGGCGTCTGCGGTAGCGATGTTAGCAAC